CGCAAAAAAAAAAAAAAAAAAAAATAGAAAAGATCAAGTCATATCTGCCCACTAGTCAACTGTGTTATAAACTCAATACTCCCAACTCCTCTCGTTTCTCCTACCATGCTGTGAGCTTCGGGGGCAGATGGCTTGAGGATCCTAAGCAGCCCCTCTCAACCCTGAGGCTCAGCCCTGCGCCTGACAGGTCCCCTCTCCTCAGGGAATTTCCCCAGGTTTTGTGCCCCGACCCCTCTTCCTCCTTCTCTTTTGGGGCCACCCCCCTAGCTGCTCCTATGGCCCTTCGGGGTTCAGAAAACCGTATGCCTTGGCTCTTCGCTCTCCTGGCTCGGGGCCACCCTCTCCTACTTCTCACCCAACTCAGACTTCACAGGCCTGCCCAGCTGGCTCGCTTTCCCAGTCTCGGTTCCTGAAAACCCCTCCTTGGCCTGAATCCAGAACGCACCCCCTCCAATCCCTCCTTCCTCCGCTCACGTGGGAAGGGAGGGCAGACGGCAGGATCTGTTTCTCTCTGACTTTGATCCCCCCTTTTAGCACCCAGCACAGTGGCTTACATTTACTTTGCCCTCCTGCGTGCTCCCCCAGCCCTGCCAGGTTTCTGTGTTTAACAAGAACCTCAGTGAGGTTCATTTTCCTAATCCTTTAAGGCTATAGGAGATCCCAATAGTTATTGAGGTTTCAGTGGTTGACTAAAATAGAAAAGTGAGTCTAAACACCTGTCCACTGTATAACTTCATCATCAAGATCATACTATCATCTATTAATGTCTATTATATGCCGAACACCAGGCCGGATGCGTTACAAATATTGTCACCAATACCCATACCCACACTTTTAGGGAGACAGCATTAGCTCCATTTCACATGGGAAGAAACTGAGGCACTAAAGAATGACTACACTTCCCCCTAAGTCACCCATTTGGCCAGCTGTGGAGCTGGAATTTGAAACCAGGTCTCTCTCACTTCAAAGCCTGGGATCTCAGTTCCCTTGAAGATTCCCCAGATATCTCATTTCCACTAACCACTGACCCTTTGCTTGTTTGCTTTACCACCTTTACTAAAAAATTCAGTGAAGATTGTCAATGAAGCTGCCACTCCCAGAATCTTTTGTACCCACTCCTAGGAGGTGTTACCAGTGAAAGCCACCAGGCGCATCCTAATCTGCAGCCACACTGACCTCCTTCGTGGACCACTGTGGCCAGTCTTTTCTGCCTGACTCCATCTCAGCACTTTCCTGAATTGCTGGGAGATGGGAGAAAGGTCCCCGGGTCTGGCCAGATGCAAGTTCAGATAGTCTCATGGAAGGCTCCCAGAAAAGCTTTCACTACTATTTTTATTTTTCTACAAAGATTGCTGAGTGTAAATCATGATTTTCAACAGACTGGAAGTTGAGCCTGGGCTTCTAAATAGTGGCTCCCATTTGCAGCAACATGAATGGACCTAGAGATTATCATATTAAGTGATGTAAGTCAGAAAGAGAAAGACAAATATATGATATCACTTATATGTGGAATCTTAAATACGACAAATGAACACATCTACGAAAACAGGAACAGACGCAGATATAAGAACAGACTTGCGGTAGCCAAGGGGGAGGCGGTTGGGGGAGGGAAGGATTGGGAGTTTGGGGTTAGCAGAGGCAAACCATTATGTATAGAATAAACAACACTCCATCTCAGCACTTTCCTGAATTGCTGGGAGATGGGAGAAAGGTCCCCGGGTCTGGCCAGATGCAAGTTCAGATAGTCTCATGGAAGGCTCCCAGAAAAGCTTTCACTACTATTTTTATTTTTCTACAAAGATTGCTGAGTGTAAATCATGATTTTCAACAGACTGGAAGTTGAGCCTGGGCTTCTAAATAGTGGCTCCCATTTGCAGCAACATGAATGGACCTAGAGATTATCATATTAAGTGATGTAAGTCAGAAAGAGAAAGACAAATATATGATATCACTTATATGTGGAATCTTAAATACGACAAATGAACACATCTACGAAAACAGGAACAGACGCAGATATAAGAACAGACTTGCGGTAGCCAAGGGGGAGGCGGTTGGGGGAGGGAAGGATTGGGAGTTTGGGGTTAGCAGAGGCAAACCATTATGTATAGAATGGATAAACAACAAGGTCCTACTGTACAGCACAGGGAACTATATTCAATATCCTGTGAGAAACCATAGTGGTAAAGAATATCTATATATCTATATCTGAGTCACTTTGCCATACAGAAGAAATTAACACAACATTGTAAATCAACTATACTTCAATAAAATTTTAAAAAATCATAATAAAAAATAAGTGATGACTCCTACATTCTATTTGCATTCCTCCAATAGGAAGAGCCAAGTGAAAGATGAATGAATTGAATGAAATGAATGAAACATGAATTGAAAGATGCATGCTCTGAGGCAGACATTGCCACTCCTGGGCTAAATGACATCGAACAATCTATTTAATTCTTCTTTCAGGTTTCAGTTTTCCTTACCAATAAAACGGGAATGATAACGCTTTCCATCACAGGTTTGTCAGCAACGATTAGATCATATAGTATGAGGTGCCTGACACCTATTAGGTCTTCAAGCAGATGCTCTCCCTTTCCTGAGCCTGGGTCACATTCTCCCCTTTATCTGTCTTCCCGAGACCAGACACTGGATAAATTGGAGTCAGGAAGCATTAACAGCTGACAGGCAAACAGTAGTAAATAATGGGCTTTGAACCTCATGTTGAGGGGAGAATTTCTGCAGAGAGGAAAAATCTACCCTAGTCTCCTCTTTGTTAAAACCCCCATTGGTTGTTTTTGAGACACAGGCTACATGTTTTATATCCCAAGTCTGTAAAGATGAACAATTTTTCTAAGTGAAACCCATTAGAGAGAAAACCAGCCTGAGTCTGTGAGAGTTAAGAATTATAGAATATCTCAAAATGAAAAACAGTTTTTGTTCCCGGATACATAGAGAAAGTCTAATCCAGAAAAGGTCTGGGTAGTTGAGATTCTGCCAGGCATATTTTATGGCCAAGGAAGAAAGGTTTATAATTGCAAGCACCATTTACATAAAACTATTGCTATATTTGGGATAGTTTGGGATGTTTGAAAACAGATTGTTCCCATGAAATTACAAACATTTCTCTACAATCACAATTTTGCTCTATTTATCATGGTATTCTGGAAGAAACAGAGGTGAACAAAGGTAAACTAAAGTCTGTTTGTAGGACTCATGCTCAAGCACTGTGAGTTTGTTGGGTTTGAGTTAAGGCTATATCTTCTTTGACCTTTCCTTAACTAATGTGATAATTGCTAAGGCGCTCCTCCATCTTTTCATCAAATCTTTCCAGATTGTTCTTTAGTTTTCAGAGATGCTCCAATTTTCCTGTTCCTTCCTATCATCACATGAACACTTTCTTTGAAATAATTTTATTTCCTTTCTTTTTTAAACATCTTATTTACTTTTGGCCAGGCCGCACGGCGTGTGGGGTATTAGTTCCCCGACCAGGGATCAAACCCGTGCCCCCTGCCCTCGAAGTGAAGTGCGGAGTCATTTTTTCTTTTTTTTTGAAGTGAGGAGTCTTAACCACTGGGCCGCCAGGGAAGTCCCTGAAATAATTTTATTTCCTTTCTTTTTTTAAAGAATCATGATTATGGAGGACAACTCAGCAGAAGGAGAAATCATCCGTGGAATAAGAAACACTAAATATGAGTTCTCTCTATAGGGGGAGTGGAGGAGAAACTAATAATTGCTCTAGTCAACCTTACCTCAGGCCTACAGTTTCTGAGCAATCAGTTGGAAAAACATGTCCTATCATTTTTTCTCAATTTGTTTTATATTGTTTCCTAAGAAGGGATTGCAGGCTTGCAAAAATTTATCTATTTACTCTTTTTTCTTTTTTTTTTGGTTCGACAAGTACAAATAAGAGCCAGGAAGTTTGGGTTAAAGTGAGTTAACCCAAATTCTGATCTCCCAAAACTAAAACAAGCCATCACCATTGAGCTATAATCAGAGAAGTTATGGAAATTTTAAAGGCAGACAGAAGTCGTAATGTTTTTAAATGGAGGGTAGAGCCATTAACTTATATGGTCTCAAGTTTAGTGGTTGATATTACCAAAACTTCTTAATTATATCGGTAATTTAAAAAAATACTTGCCATATGAGAATATTTAAGTGGTTTTAGTCTCAGGACTGGAAGTGAAAATCTCTGAGGTTGGGCTAAACAAATTCTTATTTACCAAATGTGGGCAAATTTCATTCGTGTGACTGGGGGCAGTGAGAGTCGTGAGAAGTCTGCTTCTGAGTCTATTTTTCCCTACTATGTGCCTCCCTTCTGGGTGGTCCAGGTGGCGGGCCACTCTTGGTGGCCTTTGAAGTATAGTATTCCTTCATACACCCCGTCTCAACACTGAGACATCACTTTCGCCTGTGCCGAAAGACACACAACCTACTCCAGACAAGAATGACGTGGATATCAAGGTAAAAATATAACTTATCAAAATGCCATTTCTGTTTTGAAACCATTTTGACATAAACATGGCAGATAGAGAAAGGCACGGACTAGGAAACACTTTGAAGAGCGCCCCCCCCCCCACCAAGAAGTATGTTTTACTGCTCAATCATATTTCTTGTATCTCCTTCCTCTTTATTGCTGGTGGAGATAGAAAGAGTTACGATAACCTGTAGACGCCATTTTCTTTCTTGAAAAAGGACACCACTGCTCATCATTTTCACAGCCAGGGCCGAAACACACCCCTCCAACCTTGTGCCTAGCAACAATTTTATTGTGAGAAACTTCCAGTCTTTCTTATTGACTTTGAGAAGCTGGCTGGGTGTGTACATGGTCAATTAGGCAGCTTTACTGACAAAAGTTCAAAGCACGGTGGGAAACCCGAAAAGAATGATTCTCTGGCAAGCCCTGTGGGTCAGCCATATAGTTCTCTGTCCCTTGTCAAAGGAATAGGGCTTCTCTCCTGTTTCTGGGAGTAAGGCTACTCTCACAGAGATCTCGAGCTTACCTTGGAGCTACACTTGTACAACGGGTGACTGATAGAATCGACATAGTGGTGCCTCATGCAGCGTCGAGGATCGGAGTCCATCATGAATGAGCTGTCTGTTTTGCTGTCTGTATCTCCCATCAGCGCCAGCAGGGAGAGCATAGAAAAGGATGCAGCTAGTACATGATTTCTCATTGTTGTAAGGGAAAACTTCTCAAGAGGAACGGCAGAGGGAGGCAAAGGACTAAAAATTGGAAATGCCTTCACCTCCTAGGCTCCAGTTCCTTTCAAGGAAAGGGCAGGATCTGGTTGGAGCTTTCTGGTTGTCATCGTCCTTTGTATGCCGGAGTTTCGTCTTACTGTTTGCACTCGCAATCCATCATGACTGTATCTGATGCACAGCTGGAATGAAAACAGAAATTATTTTCCCCAGAAACGTTTACCCAGAAAAACTAATGGAACCCTGGAGGTATTGAGTAGAATTTTTCCATGTCATCTTGAGTGGAGAGTATTGGTTTCTAGAGTGTCATTAGCATAAGCTATCATCCATTTCATACCCCTCCCCCATAGCTTATGGTACATATTTATAATCATTTGGAGGTGTGCACAGCGGTTTAATGGAAGCACTTGTTGACTCTAATTGCTGGAGGATAGTTTGACCCCATAGTCAAGTGGTTCTGGCCAGAGCATAACTCGATTGGGTGCTTTCATCCTTATCCCTGGCTGGTGGGGACGAGAGGGTCTATTCAGTAAGCTTTGATGTCAATGTCAGCTTACAGGGCTAGAGAGAAGGCAGGTCAGCACTAACAAGCACACGCCACGTCCCACAGGAAGGAAGTACATTTTCCATGTCCAAGTCCAACCCACCCATCCACCTAGTTTTCCACTTCTATGCTCTGGGCTTATCCTGTTTTTGTGTGAAGCCCTGTGCCACCCAGCACCAATGATAAGCTGCATGGGAAATACACATTATGCTAACTGGCTTCTAGTGCGGTTAAGGCAACACATGTGTATTTGCCAACAGACTCACGCATTTCTGAAGAGCCTTTGTAGCCCAAGCACACGTATAATTTGAAAAAGTAAGTGGTTGCTGGAGCAGAGACTTATCATTAAAGTGGGATCATGCCATATCTGACATTTGCCTTGTTCTTTTAAGCATATACCTCTTGGACAAAGGACTTGGGTCCAGAATCTCCTCAAATCACCTCACTAACCCCACCCCCGCAAGGCATGCCCAACACTATCACACCAGCAAACAGAGAGCGTCAGAAATATTTTCAAACATTTAGGAAAATTGGGGGACTTGACGTTACATCTAAAGCAAAAGGAACACAATAATTAAACCTTCAGGAAAACTTTCAAAGTTATTTCAGATAAAAGTTTGATTATTTTGCTTCATATACAACCTTTTTTTAAGCTTGCTACACATGGACAGTCTGAATAAACAGAGCAAAGCACTGATAAGATGAAGAGAAGTTCAAGTCCATATAAGTCAATTAGTTTTACTCTAATATAGTGGCCCCAGACCCCCTTAGCCTCAGTTTAGCTGTCTTGCAGAGTGTGGGGCAGGGGACCCCAGGAGGAAAAGGGTGTGTGACATGGGGCTGTTTCAGAGTGAAGCATCCCTGGCAATGGCAAAACTTCAGCATGTGTGTTTCAGGGAAGCCCTGCAAATTGCAGGAAGAGCAGGGAACAGTAATGAGGGGACCCACCTGGACTCTAGCACTTCCATTAATTAGCTGGGGGACCTTGTACAGGTCATTTGAGCTCTTCCAGCCCCAGTTTCCTCATTTGTAGAATAGGGGAGTGGGAAAAATGGTGTCTGCAACCCTCTCTTGCTGTAAAATGCCAACATTTTAGATACTTATGGATTCAGTTACTGCCATGTCCATATACAGAGGATAATCCTAGAGTTGAGGATACCATATTTTCATGCAACTTTGCACCACTGTCCTTTATGTGCATATGCTAATGGCAGTATTTCGTTAAAATTGATCAAACCTGTGCCTAAAGCTCCAAATCAGCAAAGGATGCATATGAGCATTTTTGTTTTCATTTCAGCTGCATCCTCTAGGTTTTCCTCTGCACATTACATTGAAACTCAGCAAGACTTCAGCTCAAAGAGCCAGAGCTTTCTTGGGTTCCATGTTCAGAGGCTGCAATATTGCTGACCATTTCCTGAGTTTCAATATGACTGTATTTTCCCAAATGGTCAACTGTCTCTTTGAAGCCTTAATTAGTCTCCGAAAGAGAATTTATTAGATTTCTCCTTTCACCATTCCAGTTCACAGATATTTCCCCCAGGAGTCAATGGCAAGAGGATGAAGGGGAAAAGCAGACATTCCAGTCCTGACCTTCCCTCTCCACTGCCAGCAACTTCTTTTTGGAGCCATGGCCAGGGGATATGGTTAAATGAGCAAAGCAAATGAAAGAAAAGCATGCATGGCATGATGGTAAAAACAAGCAATGACATTGACAACAAAACCCTACATACGTGTATGTATGGTTGTATGTGTTGGCATTTGCATTTATTCCACAGAAAAGGAAGTATAATCGGCCCTTAAATGGAGAAGATGGGCACCCTCACTCATCTAAGAGAAATGAAAATTAAAGTACTTTGAGACACTTTGTTCAACCAGTCAGAACTCTGATCATGCACCCTGTTGGCAAGGCTGTGGGAAAACAGGCCTATTTTGGAGAAAGTACAGTAAAAATTGGTACAAATTCTGTAGAAGCCAATTTGGCAATATCTATTAAAATTGAAAATCTGTATAATTTAGACCCAGCAATTTCACTTCGGAAAACTATCTTACATGTGAGATCACACAAGCATATGGTTATTCACTACATCATTGGTTGTCATGGCATAAAATTGGAAACAGCACAAAATTTCCATTAGTAGGGGACTGGTTAAATACATTACACAACGTTCATACAGTCGAATACTATGCAACTCTATAAAGAAGAATGCAGAAGCTCTACTGATTTGTGTTAAAACAAGGAGGGATAAGAATATATATTTGCGTTAATTTGTATTTACATAGAGAAGCTCTGGAAGGATACTCAAGAAACTGTACAGTTAGTTACCTGTGGGAGTTGGAGGACAGGCATGGGAGAAAGACTTTTCGCTGTATAACTTTTTTTAATTTGTAGATGTCTGAACTTGTGAATGTACTGCCTATCCAGAATTTCTTTAAAAAATAATACTTTCTCTTTTCAAATCAAAGCTTGGCTTAAAAATAGTAATTAAGTTAATGGGTGTTTAAAGTTTGTGCCAGTTTGAGTATTTTAATAGTATTAAACTTTTATTCCTTATAAATACGGGAAGACATGCTAGTCTCTTAGTCAAATATTCTTCCAGGTGGGCCATTTTGTTTTTGTGCACTACTGCCACCTAGTAGCAATGTTCTGAATTGCAAGCACAGTTAAATTTTTTTTTTTCCTGAAAGGTGAATAAAATAATTTTGCAAGCAAATGTTATGACACTTATACTGATAAAGAGCTAGTTAATGTCACACAGAATGTAACTTTATTATCTGATTTTCTCTTTAAAGATGATAAGCTGAACCCAGAAGTAGTGATAAAGTATAAAAGAATGACAGAAGAAATATTGCTTCACCACTAATAAGAAATAGATTTTTCATTTCAACGTGCTCATAAAGCATGATACTTTTTGTTCAGTTGTTATATTAAACTCTGAAATGAGAATGCCAGCAACAGTGTAAATACGCCACAGAAATCACAGAACCCTCGAAGCATAAAGGTATGATCCTTGCAACATAACACTGAGATTTTTGCCTTGTGTTCAAATTGGATGAACCAACACTGTTGTGTTGAAGAAGAAATGAACAGAATGCTCAAGAAAAGAGTGATGTTAATTAAGTCAGGTTGCCTTAACATTGTGTTGGTCCGGATGTGCACAGGTGAGGTTGTGCAGAGTGCCCAGGGAAGCACTCACAAAGGGGAAAATCAAGAATGAAGGAAGTTTTCATCACTCGAGATCCCAATTTTATGGCAGCCTAGGGGTATCTACGTCTGTCTCGTAGGAGCTCCTGTCATTTTTCTCAAAATTAAATTCATTCTAACTTGCTTTAATTTTGTGAAAGCCATGTAGCATAAAAATCAAATGCTGCCTATCAAGACTTAGAACCTCAGCCCAGCCAGGATGGACTGAGTGAGAAAGCGACTCTCTTGTTGAACTCAGTAGACCTGGGCTGCTCCGTGCTCTGGGTACAGTCTCTGAGACATGGACTTGGCCGATGTACAGAGCCCACATTCTAATAGCTCCAGTGTGGAGCCTCTGCTGGAGGAGAGGCACGTAGGCTGGCGTGCCCGACTTTGGAGCTACCCTCCAAACGATACCAGTGGAAAAGAACAACTGGTGCCCAGATTTCCCCACCTGTCATTCTCAGCGAAATAATATAGCAGAGCTTACAGCAGACCCAGCCTCCTGGGTGAGAGATGGTGTTGTATCTACAGATCAGCTCACTCTTGGGCTGACCTTCTGCCTGGCAAAGGGTAAAGTGCTGGTTTCACACAAGTTATTCCAGCAACTGGCTAAGACAAGTGGCATGTGCCAAGAGTGGCCTTATTCTCGCCCTGCTTGCCAGACAAGGGAGGGCCGTGCTCAGTGTCCGTATTTCCCCCGGGGGCTGTTTTCAGTATAATACATGCAGGTATTACCTCCCATGGCTTCTTTCTACAAATATATATTTAACACATATTCACTGAGCACCTACTATGTGTCTCCTTTTGCTCTAACAGATGAGACTCAAGGGTCAGGGGAAAAAAATAGGTCCTATTCTAGTTCCCTCTTCCAGCTCACTGCATCCACAAGCAAAGAATCTTGGCCCGCTGTTTTCCTGGGCAATTATTTTAGACACGCTGATGAACTCATTTAACATCTAATTCATATGCAACATCCTTTGCTTCATTCTAAGAAGATCAAGTTAAGCAGATGAAATATAGTGACTTTGGAATGACGTCAGTGTGCCAGACAGAATTATTTGATATTTACTATCATTTAAAACAATCATATCAGGCATGAGTAAGGTAAAAATGGCAGAACATAAAGCCTCTCTCAAAGGAATTGCAAAAAAAAAAAAAAAAATCAGAGATTTAAATGTGGAAGAAAGCTTGCCACTAGATAACACTTCATACTGGGATTAGAAAAGCAAGAAACTCAAAGTCTCATCAGAGAGTGTGAAGTGCTAAGTAGCCCCCTCCCAGGAACTCAAAGAATTCCAATTGGAACTAGTCAACTAGATGCCTTGGAGAATAAGTCAGATGCCTCTTCCGAAGGCACTTAATTTATAAACTGTAAACAGCCTGTTGGATTTTATAAAGCATCCCATGTGCTCAATGAATGGTTTTTGATATTATTCCTATCTGGCAGCACATCA